CTGCCAACTGTGGTTTGTGTTGCTCTGATTCCCCCTGGAAAAAGACCTCCAATTGCCCCAAACTCCCCTGGGTACTGGAAAAGTTCATCTTTGAAAAGTGATGTTTAAAAAAAGCCTGGGCACAGTGGCTCACGCCTGTAATCCCAGCACTTTGGGAGGCTGAGGTGGGCAGATCACGAGGTCAGGAGATTGGGACCATCCTGGCTAACACAGTGAAAAACCCCGTCTCTACTAAAAATATAAAAAAATTAACCGGGTGTGGTGGCGGGCGCCAGCTACTCAGGAGGCTGAGGCAGGAGAATGGTGTGAACCTGGGAGGTGGAGGTTGCAGTGAACTGAGATCACGTCACTGCACTCCAGCCTGGGCAACAGAGCAAGACTCCATCTCAAAAAAAAGAAAAAAAATGCCAGGCGCGGTGGCTCATGCCTGTAATCCCAGCACTTTGGGAGTCCAAGGTGGGCAGATCATGAGGTCAAGAGATCGAGATCATCCTGGTCAACATGGTGAAACCCCATCTCTACTAAAAATACAAAAATTAGCTGAGTGTGGTGGTGCGTGCCTGTAGTCCCAGCTACTCAGGAGGCTGAGGCAGGAGAATCACTTGAACCCAGGAGCTGGTGGTTAAAGTGATCTGAGATTGCACCACTGCACTCCAGCCTGGTGGCAGAGTGAAACTCTGTCTCACACACACACACACAAAAAGTGCTTCTTAGCTCTCTCTGACCTAGAAGTTTGGCAATATAAACAAATGGATGGTTAACGAAAGCTACAAAGTATTCCTACTATCATCAGTTGTCTTCTGAGCAGAGAAAGGGACAGTTAGGTTAACAAGATGTTACAAATGGAACAAATAGAGTGAATTGTACCTGTCAATGTCAGTTTGCCCAATCAAAGTTAACGCAGACAAAAATATTAAAGTTTTAATCAGCTATTTACTCTTGATAGTCTAATCCCATACGTGCGGACTCATGGCACACAGTAGGTGTCCAAAATGTGCCAAGGTTTCTTGAGGCCTCTAACTCCCACCCCACTCATGGTAATTCATTCTTTTGACTTAGCGGCCATAAATTATCTCTTCCTGGAGCTTTATCTCTCTAGACAACTGAAAAGTGTCTGGGTTTCTGTCTCCCACATCACACTCAGAGGGCCTTGCACTCACTGTACAAGCATTAAAATTCTTGGCTTTCTTGATTCTTGGGGTCTCTGTTAAATCTTTTCGCTTCCAAGATATTCCTCTCAAGCCCAGCATTGAAGATCACCCCTTGCTCATACAACAAGGAGTCTACATGAACTATGTCTATACAGGATTCCAGTGCAAATGTCACCAGTCTATGTGTATTAAAACAATTTGGTCAATGGCTAGAGGAAGGAGTATATACTTCATTTTTTTCTCTATGGTTAACCCTGATTCTCCATTCTTAAGAGACAAAATCCTGCATCTTGTATACTAACTTATCTCAATTAATAGAAAGAATCCTCTATCTGTCCACAGGGAGGACACACAGTCTTGATTGCTGAAGCACAGGAAACTCTCCTCCCTTTCTCTCTCCCTCCTCAGAACTGGACTCAGGTCATGCTTTGGATGAAGAGATAGCTGAGAACTGTCCCTCCCTCTAAGTGTCCACCCATATACCATCCCTTTAGCCTAAGACTAGCCGCCCGCGCCCAGCTCCTCCACTTCCTGCAGCCCTGGTTTAGCTTCTTTCTCCAGAAAGGTCTCCTCCTTTACTCTTGTACTCACTGAGCACCTCACCAGTGGCCAGGAACGGCAGCAACAAACCTAACAGCCGAGATTCTCCCTGCCCTGAAGAAGGAACCCGAACCGAAAACCACCAACTCTAACAGATGGTGGAATGAAACAAATGTCATGCAAGGTTCAAACACACTAATGTTGGCACCCAGGAGCCGGAGAAGGAGGCAGAAAGAAAATTAAGAGAGGAAACCGCATTTGAGCCGGAAGGGGTTAAGTGGAAAGAAGCCAAGCAGAGTTCAGGGCCACAAAAATGGCAAGGGCAAAAGGACCCAGTGTGAACAGGCAAGACAGAGGAATGAAAGCATGGAGAGGAAGATGAGGCTGAGCTGGGGGGTAGAAGCGAGAGGCAATGAAGAGCTATAGAGGGCTCCCGAAATGATCCAGTCTGGCTCCAGAGTTTTAGGGACACCCTTAGGAGGCCTCCAAGGTAACCCAGAGACCAGTTAACAAAGTTAGAGAGTTGATGAAAATGAATCCAGGACTCTCAGCTGGAATTGCCAGAGGGTACTGGTGCCACTTATCAAACCAACAGAAGAGCTAGTTCCACCTGTGGTCATGATGGGTGGGGGTGCTACCAGCAGCCAGGAGTGGGTGTGGGCACAGGCCCATGCCAGGAGCCCGCTCACGTTCCCCAGAGACAGGCGAGTACGTGCTCAAGAGCATGGTGCTCTAAAGCCAAATGCATGGTTTCAGTTCCCAGCTCGTACAGAAAAGCTGGTGACCTTGGGCAAGTTACCCCTTGGCCTCAGTTAAACAGGGATGCTAATAACAATCAGTCTTTACCTCATGGGATTGATTTGAATGTTAACAAGCTGACATACCTAAAGAGCTTAGAACAGTGCCAGGTACATAGTAGGTGCTCTGCAGTCACTCCTGAGTTCCAAAGTGTCAACTGGCAAAAGTGAGCAAATAACCCTTATTCTCATCTCTCATGCCCCAAAACACTGGGCTTGTCCATCAGGATATGACGAGTGACCTCATTGGGCAGGTGAACCCAAGCCTTCCTTGTCCTCACACTACAACCCAGAATATCTTATCAGAAGGAGATTTCAGAAGGGTCCAAATCAAAAGGTCTTTTCAAAAGACTCTAAAGTTATACTAAATTTTCAGTCTTCCCTCTTAATTCTTCTTTCCAACGGCAGCTCAGAAAGATGGTTCCAAGATACTCTCTGAGTTTTTCTCTGCTTTCTATGTAACTGCCACTAAGCTGGGAGTCAAATCCCAGGTTCTGACACCTACTGAGTTAAAGGCCTGATTCAATTCTGCCCCCATTGGTAGTTTAGAGGAAATACACCCAAAGGTCCTCGGACACTTCTGAAACTGACAGGTGGCTGCAAGGGTGGGGAAAAGAAGCCTACAGGAATGACAGTTGCACACTGCAGTGCTTAATCATCGCAACTCCATAAGTGGACAAATCTACTGTTATTATTGCATTTTACAAAAAGAAACGAACAGGCTGTCCAAAGAGGCTCAGGGTGCTATAGTTAATAAACCACAAGACAGGGATTACAACTCATTTCCAGATACCCTCGCTAATTCCCGTTCCACTCTGGGAGCAGACAGATGACCCCCATTCCAAGATTGAGAGTGGTATAACTCCAACGGGGTTCCAGTCCTAGTGCCCTCCTCTGGTTTGAGTACATTTATGCAAGGATTCAAATGTCCTGGGGTAATCCCCAAAGGAGAACTCCCTGGGATTAAGGATGCTTCACTGTGTATTTTAGGACTTACCAAGAGATGATAACCTTCCCCAAGAGTTCTTGGAAGTTGAGAAGTTACCAAGATCCTGCCAGCTCAAATGCACGTTTTTAAGTAAACTGAATCAAGGTGCAGAGCCACATCCCAGGAATTAGAGAATAACAGCCATTTACAAACAGTAAAACCCAAGTAAACCAACCGCCTCTGCTCGCTCCTCCAGACTTGGGGCTGGGTAACTCCTGCTTTTCTCGGAGGTTCACGCGCCATCGCTACATTAATATGCCTGCCTCCTATGCCCTCGGGACCGCCAGAATGGGAATATGAGCAGGTTGTCGTACAGAACGATAAAAGCAAGACATTTTCCCAAAAATATGTTCCCGTCAGACACTGAAATTTCAAGTATGTAACTGAGCAACGCACAGTTGCCTCACAGCTCTAAAACAACCTCCCTCCCGCTAATCCCTTCCCAACTTGTCCCCTACCTCAAATCGTAGCCCAGGCCCGGGCCAGGAGCCAATCCCCTAATCCCAGGCATTTCAGAAACTCAATTCTGAGGGCGCCCCTGGCCCTGCCCGGCCCCATCCCCACCCCCATGCCCTGAGGCGGGGAATGAGAGATTCTCTGCTTGGCCTGAGGCTCTTTCTTATGTAAATGAGCCGGCCGGGGCGAGCGCTCAGCCGTAGGGAGCTGCAGAGAGCGAGGTGGGCACAGACAGGTCGAGGCCTAAGGGGAAAAAAAGCTCATTTTCGGAAGGCACAAATCTCAAGTAATCCAGGAACGCGTAGAGTTGGCCCTCTCCGAGTAACTTCTGGGGCAAACCAGAAAGTAACAACCAAAGTCCTCCCCTGAGACTCGGAGGCAGGCCCTGAGGACACGAGGCTGGGCGGTCCCGAGGTTGATTTGGGGGGGCGGGGGTTGATGGGGGACGCCCCTCGCCGAGCCTCAGTTCCGGGCGCCAAAGTTCCGGGGAGGGGGCGCGGCGGGCGGAGTTCCTCTGCCCCTTTCCTACTCCTTCCCGGGTCAGCTTCTCCCCAAGCCCACCCCCGCAGGGCCGCAGGGAAGGAGAAGGGAACCGCTGGTCTCCTACAGGCGGTCCGCGAGCGCAGACTGCCACCGGCGGCCCCACGCGGCAGCGGAGCAGCCTCCAGCAGCCACGATTCTCTCCACGTGCTCTCGCCGGAACTCGCGCTGCAGAAGGGGGCTCCCTCCCACATGGGCGCAGCAATCCCTGAGTACCTGCGGGGTTACCCGCCCCTCCAGTAACAGGGAAAAAGGGGTTGGGGGAGAGAGCGTGAGCGCGTGCGGGAGCTCAGGGAGGGAGAGCGCCAGGCGGAGCGCGACCCCGGCTCCTCGCCCGCGCGCACTCGCCGGCCGTGCCTAGCGGACGTGGCTCCTGGCGCCCAGGAGTGTCCCGGCTGCCCAAACTTTTTCCGCGTCCCGGGCCCCGAGTAGGGAGGGAGCAGGTCCCCGCAGGGTCGAGGAAAAGACTCCTGGAGGCCACGCCACTTTGCCGGAGCCCAGCCTGCCGCCCCGCCCGCGCTGACTTACCTTCTGCACTTGGTCATGGTTGAGCTCCGTGAAGAAGTAGGCGAGCAGATGCGAGGCAATCATTCTGCCGCGGCCCGACGGCGCAGAGTTGGGAAACCGAAACGGGGGCGCGAGCGGGGAGGCGGGTGGCGCGGTCCGACTGCTTTGTGCTGGGGCTCGGCTGCCGGGCCGGGAGCTGGGAGTCCGAACGACGCACAAAGAGGGCTAACGGCTAGGGTGCGCCCGGCTGGCGGAGGGCGCGGGTCTCCAGAGACGGGATTTTGGTGTCACAACTGCTACCAGGCGCCTCAGTTCTCTCCTGGCGGCGTGTCCGGTTTTCCCACGTCAAGGCGCTAACTTCGGCCACAGGATCACTGAGGCTCAACTTGAGAAGAATCGCAGCCCGGCTCCACTCCGGCAGTGGGACCTCTCTGGTTCACAGGCGCGTGGCTCCGGCCCGCGGATTTTCTTAGCTGGGTGACACGATGTTGCCAGCGGCGGCCCGGGACTCCTGCGCCGGAGTTTCATGCAACAATGTGGCTTATTGAGGGGCTGCCGGCCCGCGGGCCTCCGGGTCAGTGACGTGCGCACGCCCATTGGCTGCGCGGGGAGGGTGTGTGCG